ACACGGCCAATGAAAAGCGGCTTCTTATATGAAACGTTGGTCTCTCCAATGTAGTAGCTTCCAAATGCATTATCTTCCATTCAGTTTCACTCTGGCCCTCCATAAAGGTCTGGCACAACCAACTCTACAACCCCATTCTGACTCCTTTTCCCACCATGCGTCTATTTCGAAGGGGTAGAAACGGTACACAGAAAAAGCTTTCCCCAAGGTAAGGCCAACCATTAAATGGGAAAGCACAAAGCTTCAGGACCAAAGGAGGAAACGCTGCTTGACCCAATGCAGAGTTAATCTGTGGAATCTGCTGCCAACAGATGTGATGATGGCCACCGGTGTGCCCACTTTCAAAGGGGATGGGAGACATTTCTGAAGGATGGCTGTTTCGCTCCTGGATTACAGAAGGCACCTCTCTCATGCCAGCTGCTGGGCAATAAAAATGTCTCCTGTCCATGGCTGGCCATGGGTGACGTGGACCCTTGGCCTCGTCCAGCATCCAGGCTCCTTTTAGCTTCTGATGTTCCAGGAGAAATAGAAGTCAACTGCATCTCCTCTAAACACCACTGCCCTCTGGTGTCAACCTGGAGCTTCTCAGCACTGAGAAACAAGCATGCAGGATGAAAACCACACCGAGGCATCCATGGGAGGGGGGAGTCAAAAAAGTCAAGATGGCAGCAACAACATTGTGATTGAAGCCCCACCACCACTTTTTTATGTGCACTACTCATGCGATGCATGGAAAAAAAAATAAGGGCGGGGCTTCAATCATGCAGTCTTGACTGTTTTGCCCCCCACTCCTGCCCCTCCAGACTCCATTGCTGTTCAAGAGCTTGGAAGGGAAAAGGTAGAATCAGAAAAGAGACAAAGATGAGCCATTTTAAATATTTGGCTTTTTCAGATAAGGGTTTGGGGGTGGGGCAGGAGGTCACCTGGAGCTTACTTCAATATATTTGGGGAGGGGGGGGGTAGACAGAGCCATCTTTGTTCCCCCGTGCTTTTCAATATGCTAAATACATTTAAGCTGCAATAGAAACTTTTGAATTTATTTGTTGCTTTGCTTTATTTATTATTGACTGTCAGCAGCTGTTTTTAATTATTTTTCTAATTAATCCCATTCCCCCCAAGCTTTAATTCTGAACCGCAGATAGATAGATGATAGACAGATAGACAGACAGACATAAAACCAAGTGGAACAATAAAGAAATAGGTAGTTCTAAACATCTGGGCTAGGCAATGTTAGTGCAGGTATTTGTGACTCTGTAAAGATTTTCCATTTTAATATAGTAAGAACAGCTTTATTTATTAAGTGCTTAGAACAAAGTGCAGTATAGATACAAACAACGATATGTTACAATTAATTATAATGTAATAATATAAAATGAGGATGCTGCATAACATACGTAAATCAAATCATCCCCAAACTTTTCGCATTCGTTGCAGCCTAGCAGCTTCAGGCTTGCCCTACAGTATTGCCAAAATGCTAGTCCTCTTCCCCCTCCTTCACATCCCCTTATCCCACACTTTTCCACATCACAAAACACCAGAAGCTGGAAAGTATGGACAAGATTGAAGCCATGCTTCACCCAGCATCTCTTTCTGTCACCAAAGCAAAGACTAAGGAGTGCCAGTAAGGAAAGGTTCGTGAGATAGGAGTAGTAAAATACCCTTCAAGGTGCTCCTGGTGGCTTCATGGATGTTCATGTTGTCTTCCTGGTAACTCCATGGAAATGCTTCTCCGCTGCTTTGTTTGGGGATGTTTTTTGACTTCCCAGTCTACAGACCTGGGATTTCCTAGTGGTCTCCCATCCAAGTACTAATCCTGCTTAAATTCCAAGTCTGGATGAGATTGGCCAAGTGCTGAGACAGTTTGAACATTGGTTGATTGATTATGCGCCATCAAGTCAGTGTCAACTCTTAGTGACTGCATAGATAGATTTTCTCCAGGAGGATCTGCTCCTCACCTGGTCCTTCAGGTCTTCCAATGGTGCCCCCAGCACCACTGTAACTGAAGCCATTCATCTTGCTGCTGGTTGTCCTCTTCTTCTCTTTCCTTCCACCTTCCCCATCATTAGAGACTTCTTCAGAGAGCCGGGTCTTCACATCATGTGTCCAAAGTACATTTTTTCTCAGGAACACACACACACCATAAAGAGGTAGCACAGCAGGCTTTTGCAGGGGGCGGGGTGGAGTTTGAATATTAAACCCATGTAATCTCACAACTTCATTCTCAGCCTGGCTTAAAAATAAGAAGTGGATGGCTTATTCATTCCATGGCTTTTCCACTCATCTCCACATGATGACTTTTTTCTTTAAAAAAAAAAAAAGTCATTTGACCAGTCATCTTCACTCATCTCTTCCGGGGTAAGAAAAAGTCTATCTGCCTCTATTCTGCAGAGAGTGGGGGGAAATGCTGATGCAGCCCTGAGTGGATCCAATCAACCAAGTCAGGAAAGAAGATTTGGGGGAGAATGGCTGAGAAGATGGAAAGCTGTCAGTTCTTTCTCACATGTCTGCTTTGCCTCTTTGACAAAGGTAAGTCTGTGTGGTCAACGTGTCTTCTCTTGGGCAGAGACTTTCAAAGCACCTGAGGATGCAAAGAGAGAAAAGGAAAGAGTTGTTTGTCTTGACCTAAAATCCCTGAACTGGCTAACTCTGCCCAAGACAGAATCATTGAGTTACCAAATGGCCCTCAAGGCTGTTTGTTGCCGAGTTTCTCTGGGTGAACATTTGCAAGAGATGCAGCAGTCTGAGTATCTTACACTTTGCCTTGCAACTGTGTGCATTTTACTCCAGGGAAGGGGAAGGCTGCCAAGTATTTCCATCTCATTCTCCTCCCTCCAGCTAATTTAAACATTTTCCGTGTTCTGGAATTGCCGATCCAGATCTGGAACAGATCATGATTTATTACAGTTGCATGTTCCACCTTTATGTGGGCACCCAAAACTGCAAAGTGTGAAATGAAAGGATCAAAGGAGTGTTTCTAGCAAGTCCTTTGTCTGCAAAATTTTTCTTTTTTGCATCCTCTCCTTTGAAACATGTGAAGCTCTGGCCAATGTCTGCCATCCCCAGAAATCACCCCTTTTTCTAAAAATCTCTTATAATTGTGAAGACCTGGCACTTTTGTTTTGCACTTCCACACTTCTCATACTATTTTATAAGTAGGTTTGATTTGTTCCTGCATCCTGATTGTTATCTGGAGTGCCATTTTCAAAACTGAAAAAGAACGGGTTCTATTGGCCATGTAAGCCACCAAAATGCGTTGGGATCCATCTTAACTGAAAGTAACCAAAGCTTTGAAAAATGGAATAGGGAAGTGCACCCATTGCACTGTGCTGTTGATCACTGATCCAAAGCATCTTTATAAATGCTGACTTGGGAGCAGGATTACGTAAATTGGAAAATCTGGAGCCTTGTTAGAAGTATTTTCACACCCACCCACTTCCTACCTGCACCAAGACCTACTGATTCCACCTTTCAATCCACAGCAGCAGAAGGTATACTGTAAATATCATTTTTCTTTGAAGGCAAAATAAAAAATAAAACCAACATAATAGAACTACATTGGGGAAAGGAGAGCAAGAGGGACAAACAAATGCTTCAGTTTCCTCATTACAGATTTGAAAGGATATGGGAAGATGTAAATCCTTATCTGGGTCCTTCAGAGGAAAAGCAGAGTGAACTGTGCGCCTCTCAACTCAGAGTTGATACCAGCTCCTTGGTTGAAGTTGTCTTGAATTGGAGCTCATCAGTAAATATATTGGGATAAATTGTACATATACACACATGCACACACATTGGGATAAATTGTGTGTGTATGCACGAGCACATAAATTGCTCTGCTTAGTATTAAATAAATTATCTATTTATCTATTTATCTATTTATCTATTTATCTATTTATCTATTTATCTATTTATCTATTTATCTATTTATCTATT